GGGCGATGGCCATCTCTTCATCCTCCGCCACTTGTTCAAATTCTTCTGCCTCCATTTCTACCCGAAGGTTGCTCTGCACCTCCTCGGCTATGGCGAGGTCATTCTTCGTCGAAGGCTGGTCGCTCGATGACTCCACCTCAGAATGGCTCGCGGTCCCTACCGACGGCTCCCTCGAAATGTCTTGCGAGTCGCTTTGAGAAGACATCTTACCCAAAGAAGGTGTTGGAGGGTTTGAAGAGAAGATACTAATCAGGAATTCTAGCTGAAGGCTACTACAGGCCCTAACAGTAGATCTAAGGCTACGAAGCAAAACTTACTAAGTAGGCGAAGAAGAAAAGAAGAACTGACCTTACAAATGGGGTTTGATCGAAGCAAGGACTTTCTCTCTCTAGAAATTTTGGCAGAGCTTCGCTATCGCATAAAAACGCACAAGGGAACTGAGCTCCGCCTTGGGGTATTTATAGGCCTTCAGCCTCGAGAACTGGGCCTCGATTTGAAAAGGCCATCATTACGGGCCGCCGGTTCAGCCAATGGGTGGTACGCGCCCACCTTCGGCCAACTAGAGCACGCCACGTGGCTCCCACCTCCAACGGCTATGTCACAACGGCTCTATTTTAGAACCTCTTGAAGCAACCATGGACGATAGCCTCCGGCTATTACTAATGAAGCCTTCGGTGGACACATATCACCAAGTACCCTCAGGCAAACTGCGATATAAGCCTCCGGTTATCACTCACCGCAGCCTTCAGGCAACGAATTCCTCCAAACGCCTTCGAGCCCGTAGCAGCATAAGCCTTCGGCTTATCAATGCTACCACCCCTCGGGGGCTCATCAACTCATCATAACTCCTTCAGCCCGAACTCGCCTTCGGCCTAAAGGAGTGGGGGACTGGGATACACCCCTTCATACAGGACAAAAGTTCTTCATGCAAACAATTTACTATTGACGCGTGCAGCCTCCGGACAAACATCAAAGTGGAACCCCTTCGGCAGAGGCAGGATATCACAAGTTTTCCCCAAATCACTTGCGGAGATGAAGGAGCCCTCATCACAACACATGCAGGAAATACATCTATGCTTCCCTCAGAAAACCCTCGACGTGTGAGGGACTGAGGGGAGCCCCCGGCGAACATGCGAAGGTTACAAATACCTTCCCTCAGAAAACCCTCGACATGTGAGGGACTGAGGGAAGCCTTCGGCAATCAGCAGAAGACAAGTTCTCCAGCAAGAGCACCCGGCGAAATGATGAAGCCTCCAGAAGAAGCGACACATCTACTCCTTTTCCCTCAAGTACCTTTCGGCAAAAGGAGTGAGGGACTCCTGATGGAGTATATGGCCCAGGAACCCCCGGCCCATAGACTCCCACTTCTCCTACACAAGTTCATTGGGCCCAGGGAACAACTCGGGCCCAAAATGCAGCGGCCCAAGCCTCAACATAGCCCAGAATACGCACTGGAGTGCCTTCGGCCTCTTTGGCCGAAGGCTCTAAATCTCACAGGGTAGCCTTCTCTGGCATAAGAGGCTACTGGGAGAAAACGGCGAAAAATGTGAGCCTTCGGCTAAACCATGCCCTCGGCATCAGAGAAGCCCCCGGCTAAACCATGCCTCCGGTCGCACAGGGCCTTCGGCTGCACAGGGATCCTTGGCTACATGGAGCCCTCGGCGATACAAGATGCCTTCGGCCAAACACTCTCAATCATCGAAGATTCCTTTTGGAGACAGCCAACCACCGCATTTAAAGCCACGTCGCATCCGCCAACCGCATTTAATGCGGTGAACGTACCACTGCCGGTGCCAACCGGTTGATGTGACCCTTCGGCCGTTGGATTACTGACACGTGTCCTCTCATCGCATTTATTGCTGCTATAAATAGCAGCCCATTTCTCCTTGTAAATGATCATCTACATCTCAACTCCGCACGCTGAGTTCATTTAATAAAATCGACTCTCTCTCCTCCTATTTACTCTGACTTCTCTCTAGTTATTCCCACAATAACCCCTCGGATAAGATACCCCCCGGGTAGACTATCCATCAGAAAACTTATGAATGTATGAAAAATGAGTAATTGCTTACAACAACAACAACATTAAAACTTTAGTTGCAAAAGAATTTGTGATCGACCAACATGAATCGATCTATGATATCAGATTCAAAAGAGAACCAAGTTAAGAAGAATAAATGGATAAAATAAGATAAAACAGATAAAATAAAGATTAATATAAGGTAAAAATAACACATGAACATACGAAAGCTAAAGAATACCAAGACAAAAGAGCATAACAAAAATAGAAATAACATAAGAACATACATGATCGATAATGATCGATGAAGAAGTTGGTACAAACCTCTTACTAACACACAAGAACATCTGGCCGATGATGGCGGAGAAGATACACCTGGCAAGTGACACTTCGTCACCGAAAATAAAACCTCTAAAAAACGCTAGGAAATAAGTGTTTATGTAGAACTGGAAATGTTGATTAAATGAAACATTTTATGATTGAATCCAAAAAGATTGAAAATAAGAAAAGAAGAGGAGGTGGGGGACAGGCAGGGACGGATCCAGGATTCTGAGTCAAGGGGGGCGAAATTTTTCGTTAGTGTAGGGGGTGAATTTTTTTTCGTTAGTGTAGCGGGGTGAATTTTTTTTCCCTAGTGTAGCGGGGCGAAATATTTTCGCTACTGTGGGGCTATGCGGCTATTTTTATTCAAAAAATGACATTAATACATGCACATCCCGAACGGCATTTAAATCTAATACATTTTAAGTTTAGACGATGACAAAGACATCAACCAATACATTTTTAATAACTTCTACATTGTTTAACCTCATAAATCGGTTATTGAATTGTAATTTTTGTCCACCAAGGAGGGTGTTCGTGAGTCATGACTCATGAGAAGTTTTCTTAATATTACAATAGTAGTATACTAGTATGTATGAGATTGTTATTTTTAGAATAATGTGCACCACATACACACACACATATATACGGCGCATATTATATTTTAATATTTTTATTAATTCTATAATAATTTAAAGTTTATTATCCATGCAATAAATTATTTTTAGAAACCAAGAAGTAAATGAATTATGTAATCTAATGTCTATAAATATTTATATTTTGGATTCATTTCACGTGATATAAAAATTGTGTAATTAGTGTGTCTGGTATTTAATATTGTTTGATATATGTTTTACAAAATCCAGTACTTGTTATCTAATAAAGATAATTAAACATTACAAAACTAGGAATTCTTATATAATAAGTATCCTAAATCTTAAATAACGAGTTACTCTATTGTTTATTTGTTTAAGTTATGTAAATTATTTTAGATGTTTATTCTTTCAAATCTCCAATTAAGTATTACATTATGTAAGACTATATACTAACTTTGAAAATTAAAAGCTAAGGGGGGCGAATCTAATTAAATTATGAAAGTTTTATGTAAATATTACATATATGGTAAAAAAAAATTGAATGTCCAAGGGGGGCGGTCGCCCCCCGCGCCCCCCTAAATCCATCCCTGGGGACAGGGGGGCTAGAGTTTCTCAATAGTCGCTGCTCTTTTTTCGAATAGCTCTATAGTTACTATACGGCCACACTTTTTGTAAATTACTTTTTTCACTCATATATATGTGTGTGTAATTGTTTTTAAGAAAATATAGTTATCCTATTTTAGTAAAACTTATTGGTGAGGACCGTGAGGATATATCAATGAATGTAACACTTAATTTAAATATACTATCATATTTTTTCAATGTCACAGCTGCATACTCACATACCGTTTATTCTTACACCATATACTTATTCTTATTCTACTTGCAATTTTGTATACGATTTACTTTTACCTTTTGCTTACAAAGTAGAACTTCAATTCATATTTAAAGTTAAGTAACATGTACATGCAGCACTACTTTTTTCATGTTTAATTAACAAAAGTACACATCATGCGCATACTATCGTAATAAAATAAAATTTTAAACAAGTTATTATTGTAGTCATCTAGATCAAATGTTGTTAGGATGTAATTCAATATTTCCAAATACTTTGTGAAATTCTAAAGAATTCTAGGACTATGTGGAGATGAGTAGAACTCTATAGATAATTGTGAAATTATCTAGAGAAATATAGAACTTTCTAGATGTGTGTAGAATGTTATAGAATCTTCTAGAATACTCTAGTCTCTAGAGAAATGTAGAAATCTCTAGAAATATGTAGAAGGTTGTAGAGTAGTCTAGAGTTCTAAATAAGTGTGGAGTCATCTAGATTCTTAAAGAAAATAATAGAAGCTTGTGTATGTTTCTTGAAAAAATATAGAATATAGAGAGGTACGACGTAAGTGGAAGATTCTAGAGAAAGGCCGGGAATTCCTACCCCCTTGTGAGTAGTTTAAATAGATGGTGTAGCCTTTCATTTGTGGAATGGAAAGAAAAGCTTCTCATAATTAAGTGAGGAAGAGTGAAGTATTCCCAACTAGAAATTGTGAAGTGAGATACTCGTTTATTTGTACACTCTTCTGTAAATTTCGATTATATAATAAAAGAGTTTTCTTAGCTCGTGATATGATCCTAGTAAAGGTCGGGCAGTGGCGGATGTGTTCTATTCAAGGGTGTTCATGTGAACACCCAAAAATAGAACACACCAATGGGAATATATATGCATGAATTTGAAAATGGTTTATTTATTAGTGATGTAAGGAGAAATTAAATGTAGGATTTTGAAAACCCAAAATATGATTATATTACTAGCTAGGTCCGCCACTGAGGTCGGGTGTCGTGTTTCCCCAACAGATGTGTACTCTTCCATCGTAGGGTTCTTCGTCCAGTATTTTATGGACTAATGAGTCTCCATTCAATTTTAGTATTTACAAAAGTAACAAAACGGGCCTGATTATAGTAATTAATGAATGAACGAAGAGAAACAACGCTAGTTTAGTGTTGCAAGAAAATAAATTAGACATTGTAAACCGTCCACCGGCCATGTAGTATTAAGTGATGGTATTAAGTTGATGCATGTAGATAAATGCATATGTGCAGACGGAGAGGTGTCACGCATAACCTGAGGCCTGCACCTACCCGCCTGCCCTGGGCACACCCGGCCGTACAATTATAAGGCCGGGTAATCGAGGTTCATGTAATACAAGTACAGAGTACAAAATAGAGAGTAACAGTGTGTAATTAATTAAAACACAGCAAATCCAAATATCCAATCAAATAACAAAGTTACGTAAAATGCGTAGTGTATGCATGCTCGAGATGGAGTAAATAACATGGCAACATGCATGCAGGATATTCTTTAATGGGCCGGGCTAGCTGCACTCGGGTGGGGGCGGTTTTGGACCATTAGTGCAGTAGTTATAGACCATGTGATTCTGTTGAGCCCAAACCATGGCTTCCTTCTGTTTATCTGATAATGTGGATGCTCTACCCGATGGGTTCGGGTCAACTTTGAAATTCTTATACTTTGCGACGAACGGCGCGTAGGAGTAATTCATCTTAACCCTCCCACCCTCGGTTGCCCAATCCGAAGCATCCCATATGCTTATTAGCTTATATACTCTCGCATTGCGTTTTCTGGATATGTTGCACTACTTTTCTTTGGATAATGCCTTATTGGTATATCATCCACGAAAAATCTAAAAAAAAAAAACAGTACTCAAAATTAAAACGTAATTATATATCAAGTCACTAATGAGGATCTTTTAGGGACGGAGTTAGTATCAATTAAGGTATGAATAACATATAAACTCTTGCTCTGACCGGATGTCAAGTTTCTTTTTCTCTCATCTGCACAAATCTAAATTCCACAATTTTTAATTCAGAAATTGCCATAAATAGGAGTAAAAACATTTTGAAATTCCAAAATAGGACTATCATGTTTTGTATTCCTTAAATAAGAGTAATCTGCCAAGTTTAGGAAAACAATGCCATGTTTAAAGCCTAGTAATCCCAAACTTCGCAGAAATTTACTCCTATTCAGAGAATAAAAAAACATGATAGTCCTATTTTGGAATTTCAAAACGTAGAGAATTCTCTTTTTTTACTTTGAATGGTAGCAGATAGATTTGTATGTACTACCTCCGTCCCATTTATATTGAGACGGAAGAGAATGACACGGTTATTAAAAAAAGTGGGTTTGTGTGGTTGATATTAATTGATAAAGTAAGAATAAAGTAAGAACGATTTAGAGGCACACAAACTTTGCCAAATATGATATGAGACAATTTAAGTGGGACTTCCCGAAAAGGTAAAACGAGACAATATAAATGGGACAGAGGGAGTAGCATTTTGTCAAAATACCTATCTATGAGTAAAACTCATCTCAATATTTGAGTTGGTACGTTTTTTTACCACCATATGACTACAAAAGCTATTTAAAACATGGCATCCGTATGGTGAAGAATATTCAAAGACCAAAATGACCTTAAAACAAATACATGTAGAGGGCCTCCAACTTCCCCTAAAGTTGGGAATGAAAATAAATAATACACAGCGGTTATGGGAAAAGTTGGAACTTTTACTCATTAAATTTCTTATAATAATCGATCATATTATTGATCGAATAAATGGTGAAAAGCTAGCTAGTTTAACGTGGTCAAAGAGCGGAACTTACATGATCTGTGTTGGAGTCCACAAAATGGCGTAGCGATGATATTGTTGAGCCGGGTCGAACCACAAATCGAAGGTCATCTCTCTCCCAACAACAGGGGTTTTGTGGTCAAAGAACCCATCTCCGCTTCCTTTTAAATACACATTGGTCTGCAACTTATAATTCTTCCCCGCAGTTCCCAGAAACTCCATATCCACTTCATCATGGTGCCCCTTACGATCTTCTTGGTTCGAAAGCTGCAACCATCACACACATCATATTTCACACATAACCGTGCACGGTCGTAGTACTATTTAAAAAAACGGGCCCCTCAACCACTACAAAAAAATATGCACGGATTGACCAATGATTTATTGCCAAAATATTTTTTATACCAATTTGGTATATTCCTCTCAAAATTTCTGCCAATCTTGAATAATCTTTACAAAAAATCTTTATCAATTCCCTGTTTTTTTGTAATAACTTTGGTGGGCCCCGTCCCACGTGATTTTTTGAACATGTCAAAAGAAACGCTACGGCAAAATCATGTAACTTTACTGATCATATACATGCATACATAGACTGGTCTTCTTGTCAGGCCGGTCTGACAGATGCTCCGTCCGGCCGAGCCCGTTTGGGCATCTTCCCGGTGGAATTTTTTGATGAATTTTTTTTAGCATGTTCATCATCAAGTCTAGTTTGTCCATACCAAATTTCAGCTCAAAATTCAATCGGGAAAACACTCAAATAATTTCTTGAAGTTAACTCTGCAGTTTATATGTATGAACTGCCCAGTTAACTTCAAGAAATTATTTGAGTCTCTTCCCGATTGAGTTTTTAGCTGACATTTGGTATAGATAAACTAGACTTCATGAAGAACATGTTCAAAAATTTTCATCGAAAAATTCCACCGGGAAGTGTCCGAAACGCCCTCGGCCGGACGGAACATCCCGTCAGGCTGGCCTGACATGAAGATTTGTCTGCATACATATTCTTAATTACAACTAGTAATAAACTTTAATTTGCCTCTTTTCATAGCTAGGAAAGTATGCTTTCTGAAAAAAAAAAGATAGAAAAAGTCATCTTCGATATGATATCTTTCGCCATAGATAATAAATTACAACGAAAAATCTTTAGTGTGCATAAATTTATGAAAAATTGTTCAAAGTGGGACTAAAATATAATATATTCTTCCAAAAATAGGACCATATATTTGGTTTTTTCTAAATAGGACTAACCTATGTAGCACCAACATGGAAATGGAAGAACGCAAAAATAGATACGGCCGTATGAAAAAAACATAAAAAGTAGGATACGGATCGGGACATGGGGTGTATTTATAAATATTAAAAGTTATGGGGACGTATTTATAAATATTAAATAGTATGGGGGTGTATTTATAAATATATAAATATTTAATAAGTATGGGGTGTATATGTATGTACGTGTGTGTGTATATATATATATAAACAAACAAAAAACAAACAAAAAATACAAGATTTTTTTTGAAAATGTATACATATATGATTTTTTGTCCATTCATGGCGATGAATCATTTCACATTACCAAGATCATTAAATCAAGATAGTTAGAAATAAATTAATATTTATCTGATATACACTTGTGCATCTTGAAATATAAATATAACTAATTAGTCACTAATTTAAAATTTTAAATGAGAAACAAGTTAAACAATCACAAATTTGAAAGTACATTGTTTTAAGTACTCAACGTTCTTGGACAAAAGATTCTCATTGAAGATAGAAAACAATACTCTTGTAAAAAATTAAAAGTTCCAAATGAATATTTTTTAGACTTTTTATTATTTATAAAAAAGTTGATATATGTATCTGTCAGGATACATGTATTCAAAATTATATAATAACCAAAAAAGTTGAAAAATAATTTTAATGAATTGTAGATAGATAGGGACAAGTATCCTAAAGTATCCTAGAGCATCTGATACGAGAATGTTTTCAATGCGTCGATACGATACCATAGTCAAGTATTTGTGCTAGATAGGGACTAACCATTATATTTCTACCCCAAATTTAATTAATGAATTAATCTAATTATATGTCTGGTAATTCCCTTGCATACTCAAATGAGTCTCTTGGTGGCGGGATATGGCGGCAGCAAACTCCAGTAGCGACGGTAGTCACCGGCGACGGAGGCGACCTCTGGAGAGGGCGACGACATTAGAATTTCTGGCAAGCCGCAAGAAAATTTCTGGAAAAGTTTCCGGTGAAGACAACATGTGGCGGTCCGGCGACCTGGAGGTTGCTGTGTTCCAGCCCTTTGAGGGTATTGTGGTCTAATTACAAATAAAGAAATCTCATTTAAGGTTTTTTAAACCACTTGATCCTATTTTTGAAAAGAAACTATGTTTTAGTGTTAAAGTATTTGTCTCACACCGGAAAACTATAAAGCAATAAAATATTATATAAGACTTTGAGTTACTCCTCTTATCAGGTTGACCTTTTAGGATGAAATCTCGAGTCTTAACATGGTATCAGAGCCAATCCTGGTTGTGGATTGAATGCTTGTTAGCACTCATTATTACGAGTAGCGTCCAGCCCGGTTCGAGCTAAGGCATGAGGGGCGTGTTAAAATATTTATCCAACACTGGAAAACTATAAATTAATAAAACACTATACTGTATAAGACTATGAGCTACTCATTCTATCATGTTGGCATTTTAGGACTTAAATGGACATTTGATAAATAACGGGTTAAATCTACAAATACTTTCTTCTATTAGTAGTAGTGTAGTACGTATGAAGTTTAAGAACAAATTTATTATGTGGTTTGTGTCTCGTGCATATATGCACGTACTCACGTAGAAAGCAACGTTAAGTCCAGCAGTACAATCCTTTTCCGGAAGCTGGATGGATGTTTCAAAATACCCACCCGCATAAAGTTCTGATCTGAACCCACTTCCTGTTATCAAATTAAACATGAGCATTCAAAGCAAATTATAAATAATTAGGAATTTTATCAGGACCCGAAAAATAGATTAACTATCAATTCAGGACCCGAAAGATGAAACCTATCGATACAGGACCCGAATGATGGAAAATTATCAGTTTAGGACCTAACATTTCATAGGTTTTGATTTGTTTAATTTTTTATTAATTCCATTACTAATTTTTTAAAAAAAATTCTTCACAAAAGTTTATTAGTTTAATAAGACTAAATAATATTTAAAATTTTCAAAATAAAATAATTACAAAATTTATGACAACTTAGGTCCTAGATTGATAGTTTTCAATCATTCAGGTCCTAAATTGATAGTTTTTCATCATTCGGATCCTATATCGATGCATTTCATCTTTCAGGCCCCAGATTGATAATTCGTTTAACTTTCAGGTCCTGAATTGATAAAATTCCAATTAATTACTACGTAATAAAATCATGGACATATATATAACTTCACTTCTTGAACACGTCATTTCCATACACGCTCCATACACTATGGTGAAGACTTCTTCTTTATTTGAGAATACACTTTTGACAGATAAAAACACGCAATTTTGTGTGAACAATATATTCACAGATAGACACAAAAAATAAACTTCACAACCAGTGTGTACTGGTTGTTATACCGTGGGAGCAGCCCATTGTAAGTTTGGTGCTCCCACGAGCAAAACACATGTGTTACTGTTCATGCGTGATTCACGGACGTGAACAATTTTTTTTCCCTTGTTCCAGTAACAGGGTGGTGTAACTCGCGTGTAAAGAAATGTAAGTCATGTTAATAAGAAATGTAACTGCAGGCAACTCGAAATGTAACTTGTCTAATACAGAGTATAAAAAATAAAATATTGACTTCAATGTTATTTTAATTTAGTGTGGGGGTTTTCTTTAAAAAACGTTAAGTTTAACAAACTAATAGTTAATAAGAAAAAAGTGTATTGAATGCATTTATGGGTAAATAAATATAAAAATCATAGAGCAATTAAGTGCTACTAGTTTCTTGTATTGTAATTTCATATTTGCCTCATATTTCCACAGTTTATCTATGTTGTAAAAACCGGACCGGAGGATGACCCGGACAGATGACTGGGTCACGGGTCAACCCGGACCCGGCGAGTCAACCCGGTCAACGACCGGTAAACCCGGTCAACAACAATACAAATAATTAATTTTAATTATATAAAAGATTTAATTCTTAAATAGAAAAATTATATTCCTTCTTAATTTAATAATAATAATACAATATAAGCAATCTAAAAAAACTATTGTATTTAAGTAGATTGATTTTAAAAAAATAAAATACATTGAAATTTAGATGGATAATAAATATGAAAATAATACCAATTACAAAATATTTACAAAAAAGTTGTAAGATTATATACATAAATAGGAAGTATAATAACATCGTTTATGTGTATTTATTAGTATTTATTATAAATTAATTAATTAATAAGCAAATTATTTAAGCTTAATTAAAATATTCCTGTCAAATAAGCTATAAGTATACCGAAGCAACCTAAGACAACAACTACCCAGTGTAGCAGGTTGGTCGATAGTCCTTAAATCATAGGGCATGGCGCGGGTTCGATTCCCGAAGGTGTAGTCTTCTCCGGGTTTTAATTATTTTCCGGGTTTGGGTTGGTTCGGGTCCGTCATGTAAACTTAATTTCACAAATAGTAAATCATTCATAAATTGGATTAAACATTATATTTCTACCCTAAATACCCCTAAGAGTATTAATTCATAATAAGATGTTTTAATTGATAATATAATTAATCATAAACAAATAAGGGAAAGTTCCCAAAATAGGACTAAAACAGTTTGAAAATTCCAAAATAGGACTGTCATGTTTTTTATTCCCAAAATAGGAGTAATTACTGCCAAGTTTGGAAAATACTGCCATGTTTGAAGTCTGGTACTGCCAAAACATGACAGTAATTAGTCCTATTTTGGGAATAAAAACATGGCAGTCTTATTTTGGAATTTTCAAACATTTTTAGTCCTATTTCGGGTAATATCTCAACAAATAATAAAAGTTGTAAGAAAAAAAATAAAAAATAATAGAGTATACTACCATTTATAAATTAAAATTAAAAAAAAACATTCTTAAAAAAAACAAAAAAAAAATGTTTATTAAAAAGTATGATCTAGTCTGATTTGATGTGGTCTGGGCTTGAAAACAGTTCAAAAGTAAACATTCTTACAATTATTATTGGGTTGTCCTTCTAAGACATCCCTTATATATAAAACCTAGTTAGTCATCATCTTGACCCATGATTTCAAT